ACGATAGGAATACGAATCTTTTATATATCTGGTCGATTTCAAATTTGCAGAATAGCCTGCTAATGACTTAATTGTCGGACTGTGCGAATAAAAACAATTATTTTCATCCTATTTGAGTGAGATCACTTTTTTCTTTTGCTGATAGTAATACCACTAGCTTCCAACCCGTTGAATTGAGTGTGTGGCTGTGAGACTCAATATTTAGTTACAACTGCAGACTCGAACTCAGACTGACGTTCTAACACTTAGCAATTCTGAACTGCTTCTTTAATGCAGCCCTACAGGATTAGGTAATGGTTAATTTATGAATGTGTCACCCAACGAATCGAATAGAATGTTTTTCATGAGACTAGCAATATCAAATGCATCATGCTCCACGCTTATTCCATAGTCATTCTGCAAGATTTTTATTATTTTTGAATATTTTCAAAGCTTATAGTACAAAATAATTAGAGAGGTGTTTTCTACTTTCTCGCGTGTCCAATTACCAACTGTAATGCTTTTCCTATCCTTCCTATTGCATAAGTGATACATGTGTCACTTACAATTCAAATAACTCTATTTTAGATGATTAAGTTGTCTATCTGATGTACCGATATTGAGTAAAAGGTATCTCAGTTTCAAGAGTGATGCTACAAGGAAAACTTTGGAGTTCTCTGTAATAATTTCAGCAAATTGACTGATTTCTTTATTAATAATTAATATGTACTCATGCCTTATATTCTTAACGACAAGGCTAGAGAAATCCTTTTCTGGGTGTCACTATTGATTTCAACAAAAAAAGATCACTTTTTCACACGTAGGAAATAACATTCAATGATGAACATGAGCCAGCTTATCCAAACAGTCATTACATAATTAATGAATTGCGAACTGCTGCATGCTGCTCATTCATGTGTTTTATCCTATTTTTGCCCATTTTCATCTACTATTATCCACATGAGTGGTCCGCACAACAACACTGGTTATAGTTATGTAATATCAATCTACCTTTGGTTTATGTTTTCTCAGTGAGTCTGGTCCTTTTCATCATGAAGTCGTATATTCTAGTCATCTGAACTTGAGTAGAGTGTCACACACCATAATAAAAGACAATACATCTTAATGGACGAGAAGTATCAGTCAAACCTTCATGTTAAAAGGAAATTGCCTCGCATTATCCTAAATCATATGAAGTGAAATAATGTATTTAGTATTAGTAAAAACTTCAGCTCGTTTTACTACGGTCATGACAAAGAGTTTCGACAGTTCTTTCCTACGATAACATTTGGGTTATCCTGTACTTGATACAGTTACTAACATCGAGCAAAACGAGGTACAGAAATGATTCATCTGTTTTGAGTTATCCTGTTACTATGAAGCGTGAAATCAGTTAATTTTCTAGGAAAAGACACTAACGGCTTAAAAAATATGTGTGGTGGTCATGATCATTATAACAACAGATTAAATAACAGACAGGATGTCTTCTGTGGTCGTAGTACCAATGATAGTGGACTTTCTAGCATCATTAACACAGGAAATAGTAGTCAAGAAAACAGTTGCAAATGTGACAGATATTTTCGTGATTGTAATCATGGAGCTAATGGAAATACTTATAATAACAACACCAGATACAACAGTCGCGGCACCACCGGACATAATACTCGAACTAATGAACGCAATTTCCGTGCGAACCAATCTACAAGTACAGATAATAATTGGAGCAAAAGTTCGAATTCCAACCGTGATGATATTAGTGGCTGTAAGACTACTATGCATTCTTATAATGATACATTCAGTGACTCTTGTTATGCTTCAAGCAACCTCATTCATAGCATAAACGATCGTGACAATAATACTGATGACCTTAGCCATAATACAAGTGATCATAGTAATGATACTTGGAGCAACAGCAGCAATGAACAGGACTTGTATAGAGTGGAGTCGGAAACGGAAGAGCAAGAGCGCTGGATCACTGTTTTTCTTATGTCGGACGTGAGCCATAGTAAGGATTCTAAATGTGAAAATGAGGAGAACGATTCGGATTCAAATAACAAGGACAATTACACATTTGATAATGCCGTGGACTGTCTTAATTATGTTTCATCTATTGGTAGTGGACAAATATTAGTAGTTGTTGCTGATGAATATGCAGATGATCAACTAACTTTGAAAAAATTGCAAGGTTTCTTGTCGGTATCTGTTATTTATCGTAAACACGGTGGCAAAGATCAACGGCCATTATATACCGATAAAGAACTAAAAGATATCTGTCCCAAAATCCAATGCTCATTTACTGATGAAAATCCATTTCCAGCTGCAGTTTTAATTTCTTCCAAGAAAATCTTTAATGTATTTAGTCCAAATAATAAAGAAATCTCAACTCGTATTCTTAACGAAGAGAGTACCACTTTTGTTTGGTATCAAGTAATGATCGATCTCATTTTGTCTTTTTCATTGACGCCAAAAGCAAAAATTGATTTTTTTGCGGAATGTCGTCGACTTTGTATAGATCAACCTTACCGACTACCGGATATTGACGAATTAGAGAGAAGTTATCAAGCAAAGAATTCAGTGAAATACTATGTGAAGAATGCGTGGTATTACGAGCTCATCAATCAAGCATTACGCCATCAAAACGTATCGACTATCTATCATTTCCGCATGGCCATTATCAATATATATGAGCAGCTTAAAACAATGAGAAAAGACGATACGAAAAGAACAAAACTCTATCGTGGTCAAAAAATCGGAATCGATGAAGTTGAAAAATTACGTCGTAATATCAACGGTTTTATATCGTTCAATTCGTTTTTGTCAACATCGAGAAACGAAAGTGTAGCTCATATATTTGCATCTTCTGAGGAAAGTGCAAACGCCAATAACCTAACGTCAGTAATTTTTAAAATGGAAATTGCGAGCAATTTATTTAGTGATATCTCAGAAGTAAGTGACTATTCTGACGAACAAGAATGTCTATTTTTAATTGGAACTACTTTCAAAATCGTTTCCATTGAAAAAGTTGAAAGAGATCGAAAGAATTATTGGTACGTGCAACTAATTGACGCTAGTGATGATGATATAAACCATTTGAAAACAATTAAGCAGCAATTTCTTCAACGGCTTGCAATCGCCAAAGGTCCATTTAACTTAACATGGGGTCGCTTTTTATATAATGTGGGTGAATACGAGGCAGCTGCAGATTATTATGAAAATTGGCTGAAAGATTTGGAGAACATTGATGATAATGAGCTTTTGGCAACTATTCATAATGATCTAGGAGTTATATATTACCATAAGAAAGAATATACTAAATCAAATGAACATCATTCGTTAGCATTCGCTCAAGCTCAAGCAGCGCCATTTCCATTATGCCTAAGTGTTTTTTACGATAATCTTGGTGGTACTCGAATAAAGTTAAACGAATATTCAAAAGCATTCGATGATTTTCGGCGTGCATTAGGTATTGAACAACGACGAAGGCCTATGAACGAGTTAAATATTGGTCGCATATATTCAAATATGGGCATCATTTGTTATTATCGGCGTCAGTATCAGTTGGCACTTCAATATTTTCGGCAAGCTTTCAAGCGACAGCGCCGTATATCGTTGGTAAAATCTCATGAGTTGGCTATAACATGCAACAATCTGGGCAATGTCTACATAAAGCTAAATAATTATATGCAAGCAGAAAAATTCTATTCGGAAGCATATAAGATTGCATGTCGTTCGTTACCCGAAGGACATGAAACAGTGATCTCTTTTGAAACTAACTGGAATGAAACACGTAAAAGACTCGAAAACATGAACACTAATACCAACACAAAAATATCTGAGGAATCACAGAATCCTAGAGAACGTCTAGACAGTGATATCAGTATTTCTGAAATCGACATCGTAACGTGATGCGTAGACGAAGATATTCTTGGAAAATTTTATTCCCGACTCAATAAAGCCTTGAGATCGATTCGAACTCTTGACAAACTCTAATATTGAGGGTATGGGTGTAGGGTGGGTATGGGGTGTGATGTGGATGTGTGTGGAGTGTGGGTGTGGGGTGTGGGTGTGGGGAGTGTGGGTGTTCGTGTCTGAAGTGTGGGGAGTGTTGGTGTTGATGTATGAAGTGTGTGTGGGTGTGGGTGTGTGTGGGTATAGGGTGGGTGGGTGTGGGTGTGAGTCTTTTCTCCATCCACATTCACATCCACACCCATATTCACACCCACACCCCATATTTACACCCCATATCCACCCCCATCCACACCCACACCCCATATTTACACTCCATATCCACACCCATCCACACCCACACCCTTTTGCTACATTTTCTTCTCAACTGATTATTCATTAAAAATCTCAAGATTCACTCTCACACTTGCTCATACATTATAATAAATATTGCCTGTTTATTGAGGTTTAGACTGATTTTTTTATTATCTTTTTGAATATAAATACAAATTACATTCTCAACATTTTTATATAATTGTGGTTTATTAAACATGTAGTTCGAAAGAAATGTTAAGAGTTAATCTTTCGAGAATCAGATATATATTCTTGTATTAAAGGATTATCAGCTTTTAGTTTGTGATTGTTATTGCTTCTATGTTTTGAACGATTGGTACAAGAAGGTGGGGTTAGATAGTTATTGTTTTTTGAAGAGATTTTGGTGACGCAGCATATAGTCTTACATTCGTCGCATGTTGCAGGCCATCCATACTTGGGGATTTTAGAAGCACACGCTAAAATGACTCTAGGCTCTTCATAGCCAGTTTTTTTTATAGATATTAGTTCGTTTGACAAATGCATCAATAGTATTTCTGGCTTCTTCCGAATCATTTGAATTTCGTGCAACCACTAGAATAAAAAAGTTAATGATTTTTCCACCGTATTCGCTAGTACTCACTGCCCTGTTGAAAACCAGTCTGACAACTCCATCACTTCGACAGATAGATTGACGTCTCCGTTCTAACATTTTTTTAACTAAATAATGTATAAATTAAGCTCATTATATTAGAGTTAATGAATCAGTAACATGTCTTACCTGCTATTGTTCGACGTTTCACCATCTCTCCACCAGGATCTTCGATCATTTCTGACATCAATTTATTTAATCTTTTACCTAAACAATGTATTGATTAAATTCATTATATTAGAACCGATGCCTCGGAAGTGTCTTACCATTGAGTTGATTACGTGTTATCACCGTTCCATCCGGACCTTCGATCATCTCTGACATCAATTCATTTAATCTTATAGCTAAACAATGCACTGATTAAATTCATCATATTAGAACGCATGATTCAGCAATATCTTACCATTACGTTGATTACGTGTTATCATCACTCCATTCGGACCTTCGACCATCTCCGACATCAATTTATTTAATCTTATAGCTAAACAATGCATTGATTAAATTCATCATATCAGAACCGATGATTCAGCAATGTCTTACCACTGAGTTGATTACGTGTTATCATCCCTCCACCCGGACGTTTCACAAGTTTCTTCCCATATTTGATGAGTCGTTCACCTGCCGAATAAAAAATAAAAATTAACAATGTTAATTGGTCTTTCTCGACGAATGATATATACATAGCATTTTCTCGTTTCGCTTCGGTAGTTAAATTATGTACTCGCGCCACATAATAATAACCACTATTTCCTTTCGGACCAATCAAAAACGAACAAAACGTTTCCATTTTTATTGTTTCTTCTTTAGTCTATAAACAAGAGTCATAAGCTGTATAAATAGGCTTTTGATTGACTTACATTCATGTTCTTGCCAGACAGGATTGGCCATATGTGAATCCATTCACGAAATTGTCGCTTACCAGATGTTTCATCTTGTGTGTTTAGATAGGCTAGTACTCGAGATAGTGGAACTTAAAAAAATCATTATGATGGAAATTTAAATGTCATTCCAACATACATTTTTCATTACTATACTTCTTATAATATAACTTGCTATGAGTATAAAAATTAGTAGTTTCACCTATTTTTCCTTTGAGATAAACAAACTCGCCATCGACATGAGCTTCTTTCACAATTTTCCATTTTCCAAATTTTGGATGATTTTTCATATTATTATATATGGTCTTTGGTAGAGTGATTGTTAATACATATACGGCGTGTTTATTTGAATCTAATGTACATTTGAGACAACTATCATTAATATCGCGGACAGTAAGAAAATCAGGCATATTTTCACCTCGTTCGGTGAGAGCTTTTTGTAATGTAAGAACACATAATATGGTTCACAATCATTGAGATGAGAATAGACGAAGTTAGCTTACCAGAAGTTTTCCCGATTTTGGCTTGGCGCTTAACTCGTCTAATAACTTCACTAATTAATCGATATCAATTTCTCCGTCTAAAAACAAATGTGATGGTTCATATAATATTAACAAATAAGATTTCGCTCGATTACTTGTGTTGGAAAGATACTGTCTTGCTGCCATTTTCATGGTGTGATTTTTGAGACCGTCTTCTATTATTGCTTTAAGTTCAGTCAATTTAACTGATGTTGTGATACTAGAAGAACAACAGCTGTACATATTTCGTAAAGAAAGAAGCAAACGGTTTTTACTTAGTTGATTGAGTAGCTCGTTTACGAACAGGTGATGCTTCATCTCTTTTGCGCTTCGATCCCATTGAGTGACTTAGATTGGCGTCGGCACTAAACAAATGAAAACCACGATGTGGGTGAGTGTATGGGTATGGATAGGTATTGAGTTACTGTAGATGGCTGTCGGCGTGGGATGTTTATGATACTTACACCTACATCCACAGTCATCCACACACCCCAACCACAACCACCCATACACGCACCCAAACAAATAAATAAATAAGTATATGTTAAAGTGTATAATGTTGAAGAGAATAGCAATATATATATATATGTCAGCGTCCATGGCCGGATGACGTCCAAACTCAGATTGGACTAGGCCAATGATGTTATATGTATAATAATTGTTAATAGAATTTTTTTCTTTTTTTAAGTTTTCTTTGTTTGAATAAAGAAAAAAACAATAATAAGAAACGAAAGAGAAAAAGAGTGAGAAAAAAGAGAAATTAAGAAAAGAAAAATAAATAAATAGTAAATGAATAATGCTAGGCCGTCTCAATAATTTCTTTATCAACTGAGTAGGTGAGAAATATGTTAATGCGACACGGCGATCCTTATATATTCATTTGAAATAATCTACTCATTATTTCATTAATTAAAGTAGGCATAATTGATCAAAAAGTAGTACTAAATGATTATCTATTTATTAACAGAAAATATACATATTATAGTAGTTATTTTAGACTAATTTGCAAATTTAGAACCAATAATCATATCAATAACATTGTTTTATGCTATTCATTTGATACATTATTATTAAAAGTGATATTTTAATGTTCTTTATTACTTTAATTTATTGGATTACAATACATTATTATTAAATAATATTCTGCTATTCAACAATCCATCAGTTAATAATGCTTTTTAATGCATTATTTTTAAATACCCTTTTAATAGAGGAGAAGATATTACTTTTCAATACATTAGAATAGATTATTATTAAACGATATTTTAATATCCGGTCATGAGTTATAATTGTAATGGCTTTCTTATGATTCTTTTGTTATTAAATAATATTCGAATACTAAATAAGAATTATTTTTTAATACATTCTAATGTATTATTATTTAATAGTGTTCGAATATTAACTAGTTCATTGATTTGTTTCATATGGAAAAGTTAAGATGTTTGAGAGAAAAGAAAAATTATAACTTTATAATACAAAATCTTGAATTTAATATATCTACGTCATTAGTATTCTTCTAATTATTCGAAAGTACTTACTCAACAAAAGAAATTAGTTTTACTTCGACAAAGAACGACTGCTGAAAAGCAAAATTTGAGATCAGCAGGTTAAACTTATCTTTTCTTCAAAAGATAGGTCAGTCTGTTTTCAATCGACACACCCATTCTCACTCGCACCTTCAAAACTTCAAAAACCAAACATTTGCGATTTCATGAAATCTTGAGGAACTCAATCGGAAATGGTTTTTTTCTTCGATTTTACTAATCGAAAGTAGAGATGAAATATTGCCAGAAATTAGCGATATGCTACATAGAAAAAAATTATTATAGATGTCAGAAACGTTTTCTATGAAAGTAAAAGAATGCACATACAATTTTTCTGAAACGTACGATATCGCTGAAGTCTTATTTTTTCGTTCTATGATCTTTTTTTCGCTAAAAAAATGACAAGTTTCTAAAAACGAAAGAAAAGGATTAAGATCGTACTAAAATATGACCAAACTTGAGAAGTTTTAAACTGTTCTTCTTTTTGGAGAGCTTAACTGAAATATGCTTCGTAGAAATTAATTCTGTTTTGATAACATTTTGCGGACTACAAGTGAAGTGCTCATTATTTGATGAGATAAATTTTGTTGTTAGTATTTAAAATGGTTGTTTATTTTCTTTCCACAGAGTACACACAGTAATACATCGAGTTATTTTTACCAATAGAATCGATATATCTAACCCTCATCATCATCATCACAATATATTTCGTTTAAGAAAAGAGCTCGTGACAAATTACAAAAGAAAAATAGGCGTGACTCATTGTTACGATCACGATTTACGATCGCCATGATCAAAAAAAAGATGGTCAGAATGGGATCTAGACGCATCTGATTATCTAATCGTTGTCTTTCTAAAACGGACAGAATTCTGTTCAGAATTCTAATGAATCACTTGAACATTGAGGGTCAGGATGAGGGTGCTAATAATGAAGTCTCATTCATCGAAATATCATGGTTTGTATGTTAAAACCTCGCCTTTATAAAGGTGATTTTTGAGAATATTTTCCATATGTTTTAGATTTAGAGGTTTTCTATGATACTGAACAAAATGAGAATATTAAATCAAAGATTTAAATTTTGACGAGTTCTTGGATATTTGACATAGTTCTTGATGATCTCATGGTAGGTCTCATAAATATTTAATAATCGAGCATTTCAATTGTTATTTTAACTAAAATTCATTATTAAGGGTGTTGGTGTGACTATGAGTTTTGGTGTGGGAGTTGTGTGCAGATACATAATTGAACATCTACACCAACACCCACATCCACCAGCAGTGGACAACAAATCGATCGGTGAGATAAATGCTCATTTCCAGCGGAAAAATACGATCCACGTCAAAAATGAATTTTATATCCATTCTGTTCATATAGGACGATCGTCACATACATATATGCATATGCATCCACATTTCATTTGTATCTTATTCTTCTATGATTACCATTCAGAAAAGGAATACGTGCGAAAACAACCCCGCCATAGACATTAAAATCTACATCACATCATAGATCATCTAATTTTCACCATTAAGTTGACAATCTACTACATTCTATAACCATGCTATATTCAGTTCTGCTAATCGACAAAAAAAGCAATTAATATCTTAAGATCTAGAAAAATACCTCTCTTCAAAAAACTTTTCTTACAGCGGTGAGCATAATTTCTATTGATTTTCATTTTTCTGCTACACTAATACTATCTACTATAAGAGTGGTATATTTCCTTCGTATAAGTCTAACTAAAGACAATCTTCCTAAATGATCCTAGATTAATGCACTTATCTAGATCATTTTCCTATACTACTGGGAAGTTCTCCCAAGACTTGTTGCTTTCTTATGAAGTATTCTCTCTTCTATTTCATTTTGTCTGTCTGACCCTAGTAACCGTTATCCCCAACATCTTCCATTTTCCTCCTCAACAGGTATCTATCTACGAATTGAAGTATTTAATAATTTTTCTAATACATTACCTCATTTCTTCATATCTCGATTTCATTTATCTTCTAGCGTTACTAACCAATCCTACAAATTTTCACTCTTCCTCTCAGACAGTATCTATGTAGCTATTCAGATATCAAACAATTTTTTCAACAGAAGACAACTTTTTTTCATTTTTTCATTCAACTTTTTCTGTAGAAACCTTCATTATTCCTACGGATTTTCATTTTTCCGTTGCAATAGAAGGGTGTGGGTGTGGTTATGAATAAAAACAAGACCCACACTCACACCCTGACAGAACGAATAGAAGAAAAAGAATAACTAGAGAAATTCAAAACGCAACTCTATACCCGATGAACATGATTTATTGCTTTCAAAGTTTATTATTATTAGAATCATAGTAGCATACATATTATGCTTATAATCAAATAGCATTGTTCAGTTTTTTTCGATCTATCGAACGATCCACTCTAGTCTACTCTTAAATAACAGCCTGACACTGGTAGTTTATTTGTCCGTGTCACATTTTGGGCAGTGCCATTTTCATAAGACCATCCTGGCGGTGTTTGATGTTGATCAGACAGTGTTCGTATGCGACAATATTGAAAGCCATTACAACCCAGCTGATGATCATATGCAACGGCACCCTTATCCTGCTCTGCTGTTGTACGACATACAGTTTCAGTGACATTCATTTTGTTAAAGTTTGGCATACTAGCATTCTTATCATTCATGCAATTGCCTAGACCCAACCACGTCCAGTTCGATGATGATATGTTTGATGGTGGTATCGTTTTCGCCACCGATATAAATAGATCCCATGCAGCTGATGTCGATGATGTATTGCGGGATGAATCGCAACTGTTCGCAGATTGATTGCTCCAAATCAAACTATACAACCCATCAAGTTCGCACCGCTTTGACGTCCAAACAGATTCGGCATTATGTTGTAAGAATGAACGATAGCGTTGTATATGAGCTGCATCCGTCAGGTATGGTATTAGATAAGCTAAATGAC